CAGTCACGAGCATTGAGGCCCTGCTGCTGAGAACACAGCTGTGCTGGGCAGGGCACGTCTCCAGGATGCAGGACCATCGCCTCCCCAAGATCGTGCTTTATGGGGAACTTGCCACTGGCTGCCGCAAGAGAGGAGGCCCGAAGAGGAGATACAAGGACTGCCTGAAACAATCCCTCAGCCTTGGCAATATTGACCACAACCATTGGTCTACCCTGGCCTCCAATTGGGAGGCCTGGAGACACACCATCTATAATGCTGCTGCTGCTTTTGAGAACACACGCAGGATCACTCTGGAGGAGAAAAGACAACGCAGAAAGAATTGCGTCTTGTCGATATCACCTGGGGAGTCTTTCTGCTGTACGTTCTGCAACCAGACTTGTCTATCTCGCATTGGCCTTTTTAGCCATCAGCGTGCTTGTAGCAAGCGTGGGTAGAGCCCCTCTCAAATCTTCGTTCGCGAAGCCTAGCCATGATGATGAGAAAGCCTCAAGTCAGTTTAGTTTGAGTTCATTGCCAAACTAAAGATCCAAGGAAAGGAGCCCCTGTTGCATGCCTGCATTTATAATTCCTTTACTCTTCCGCAGGGGGAAATTCTCATTGGCTCCATTGCTAACAAGGCCAAGGGCTTGATCTGTCTAGTCAGTTGAATTTTGTTTTAATTATAAAGAAAGGTCACAGGAAGCAGCATGACGATTTTCAAGGGATATTTCAGCCAGGCATAAAATCCTCTCGTAGATTAAATGAATTTTAAATGGAAAAAAAAAATGTATTGCCCACAGATATTTTAATGTTACCTCTGTAAGCAACAGCCTTGAAAATTCTTCATATGCTGAGCTGCTGGAATTAGGGAAATCATCAGTGAAGTTGTAGTTGAGAATCCTCATAGTGACATCAAATATCTGGGCCTCTGTAGGGCACAACAATAAAACACACACTGAGAAAGCAGGAGAGGAAAGGATTCAGTCAAAATTGATGACGCACCCAGACCAAAATCTCAGACGATGGAAGGAGAAGGGAGGATGAAATTGAGAGAGTTTGGTATTAAATAAAGAAAATACAGCCAAAAGGCTGCTACAAGTTTCCTACACATTGAGAAGATGCACTTACATCAGCTCCATAGAGACACTGAGGTGCCTGATTGCTACTGCATGAGAACTGGGTGTGCACATACCTTTGTATGTGGGTACAGTCATATCTGGACCTGACCCTACATAACTCCTGACTTGAAATTACATCCAAGGTTGAATTGCCAGTAAGTTCATCTTTGGCCCACCGGTCAAATTGCTTTTATTTATTTTCCTTGCCTTGGCAGTGTGGAAAATAAATATAATCTTTAAGTGAAAGTATAACAAAAAGCAGTGCATGGCACTTCTCTGGTGAGCCCTGACAGGTAACATAAGGAGCACAGGAGCCAAAACCAAGAGCCAAGGAATCTGTAACTGCTGTAGCCTGTATAAACAGTCTGAGGCTGTTACTCTTTAGACTGATCTCTGGAAAACTTTTCTTTTTCTCAAGGGCTCCAGCTTCATGCTCTGAAGTTCAGCCCTCTGTTTTCATAACCACCAGATCTCCTACTTTCCCTCTACAAAGGGAGCAATTTCCCTCTGACCCAAACTGGAGTCATCCCTCATTGGATCAAAGGGAAGGCTCTTATGAATAAACACGAACAGCAGCATTCTCACTGTGGTCAGTAATAAATACTTCACTGCCTGCTCTTCAAAAAAAAAAAAAAAAAAGGGGGAAGAGATTTATTTCTTTATTTGCATGAAGGCTTAGGAAATAATTTAAGGCCAAAGGAAAAGCAAAATTATGTTTGATCAACACACTAGGGCCTCAAGAAGCCACCAGCACTGGTTAATTGAACCAAACTGGGCAGGCAGTCTGTAAGCTTTCTTACTCAGCTCTTGTTATTCCCTTTAATCCTTTATTCAGCTGAATCTGCCCTTCCTCTGGGCACTTTTGTTAGCTCAGCTGAGCCCTTGACAAACCAGTTGACTGGATTTCTCACTGGCCACAGGCATTAGCCAGGAAAAATGGGGCCTGATGGGAGATGGGAGGCAGCAGAATGCAGCACCAGGCACCAAAGGAAAAATAAAAGAATTCTAGCTTAGCCTGATATCTGTAATAGTTTAAGTTAGCTCCAGCACTGCTTTATCAACTAAAGCTTGATAGTCTGGCTTGGATAAATGCTGGGGTAGATGGGGAAGAAAAGTGATAAAATGGGATGATGATGGGAAATGTCGTTCAGGGAGGACCAAATGGATCATTGCTGAACTGCAGATGAATGGAGAGCAGCTCCAGGGAGAGAGACGGAAGGAGAGATGGAATATATTTTAACTTGTATATCTATTTTAGTGTATATTTGAAGGTGTCTCTTTACCTGTTTTAACACTTTGACGGGAGATGATGGTTTTTCCACAGGTTTCATAGCTGACCTCGACTGAATACATCACACCTGCTTCCAGCTGAGACACACATCCATTTTCATTTCCTCTGTCTCCAGGTCTTGGACAGTCTCATTGCCCTTGAACACTTGGACTTGGAAAATGCGGTTCAGAGGAGAAGTGACGTGCCAGGACATCTCAAAACTGTTGCTGGTAACGCTGAAGATTCGGTGGTTTGTCACTGCAGAGGAATCTAATGAATTCCCAGGAAGAGTTAGCACAGACAGATCAACATTTCACCTCTGTGCTCTTCTGAGTGCTAGACAAGCACTTTGACAATCGATAGGCCAAATGTCCTCTTTAGGTCAGGGCAGAATCTGCCCCCTCACACTACTGGGTCCCCTCACCCGTGAACCATCCCACTGGGGTGATTAATTTGGTGCTTACTCTTTTCATTTCCCTTTAATATATGTATTTGTGTTGACTCACAGAACCCTAGAATGGTTTGGGTTGGAAGGGACCTTAAAGATTACGCAGTTCCAACCCCCCCTGCCATGGGCAGGGACACCTTTGACTATCCCAGGTTGCTCCAAGCCCCATCCAACCTGGCCTTGGACACTTCCAGGGATGGGGCAGCCACAGCTTCTCCAGGCAAACCAATCTCCACTGAATGTCTAGGAACACTAATAACCAGGCAGTGAGCTACAGGCGAACACAACAGGAATAAGTTTGGAAGGGTGAATCTGTGTTCTCTACGTGTGTTGACACCTGCTTTGCCTCTTGTCACTTTAATCATCAAAATGCGCCTCTTCAGGCAAAGGTTGTCTGGATTTATGCCTGGAAAACCTCCACAGCCCCCATCTTGGAGAGGTTGGGGGCAGAGGGTGTGCAGCACTGCACCTGCTTTTCCCCTCTAGTCCAGTGCAATCATTGTCATGCCAATGGGAAAAGACAGGACCCTTCAGGGATGATTCCTCTCCTCAAAGGAGGAGGTGTCTAAACTGGGTAGGTTGAATTGCCCTCCAGCAGAGCCAGTCTGTCTCCATCAGCTATAAAGAGATCCCAGACTAGACACCTCTCCTGCAGACAGCTGGGGTCAGGTGAGATGAGCATCACTCCCCATGCTAACCCAGAGACCGTGTTGTTCTGCTACCACAGCCACAATTCTTTCATGCTGATGGTTAGACTAAGGAAGAAAGTTTGGGTTTGCAAGTTGCTTCAACAGGACATAATTCTTTCCAGGACTCTGAGCCAGGTGGTTGCCAAACACCCCTGAAACCATACCCCCCTGCACTAGAGGTGCCTCAGTTTAATTCCTCTAGCTTCAGTTTGGATGTGAAGATGTGGATGAAGATCAAGAATACCCAGCCTGTCTCTCTGAACTTGGCAAAGAACTACTGAAAGCTGTTTCCTCTCACAAGAAGGAGGGGGTGTTGTTGAAAGGACTGTAATAACTCTTATCAGAAAGGCATCTAAGAGTGACTGACTTAAAATCAAGACAATATTCATTAAAATACAAGATTACTTACAGCACCCAGCATCTGTAGATTGGTTAGTTATGGACAAGAGACTTGAATTCATTATAGAAGGAGAGCTGTTGCTGGTATTAAAGGCATCTGCTGCTGAACTTGGAGTAGATGCTGCAATGCCTAAGGGAAGATAGTATTATCAAAGAGTTAGAGTATTCCTAACAAAGCAAATCCCAAATAATACCATTCCTCTTTTCCACAGCTGGAAAGCAGCAATAGAAGTAACATAAATAGAAAATAAGTGTATTATGATATCACAAAACATAAAATAATACATTATCCTAATTTTTGAGATTAAAGGATTGTAAAATTCTTTTCTGTAGCTAAAGTATTGAATCTGTAAGCAGTTACATCTCATTAACTTAAAGCCTGTTAGCAGGTCCATTGATGTCTGTGGCTCTAAGTACATGCCTCTGTATTTTGCTGGTATTATTTCACTCAGTACCAAACTCCAGCTCTCTGCAGCACAGGACTCAGGGACAATGGAGCAGCTCAGGGTGGGGATCACGCAATCACTGAGTCTGGGCTGCACTCACACAGTCAAAATGGGGAAAAAAAACTAAAAATTTTTATAAATAACATCATTAATTGTTTCCCAGGAGGCTGGGGAGGTGCACTGACAGCGAATGATGTTCTGAGAAGCAGTCAGGTCTGAAGTTAGAGGTTTTGGCAGGTGAGTGGGGACATCTGAGGGTGAGACAGGACAAACAGCAAGGGACTGTGAAATAAATACACTGCATTTCAACCAGAAATAGATAACAGCTGGGTTATGTGACATCTTCTCCCAGCAGGAGAAGAAGGGGCACTGAGTCCTCCAGAAATCCTTGCCCTGCAGGTGACTCCTGTGACAGACAGCAAATTCCTGCAGAAACCTCCTCGGTGTTTCCCCAAGGTGAGATCTGCGTTTCTTATCTTCCTTCCTCCTGCTCAGCTGCTGAGGGATGGCATGGGCATGAGGGTCACAGCTGTCATCACCCTCCAGGTTTACACAGGTGCTTTTGTCAGGACAACCGTTGAGTTCAGCGTAGAAACATTCATCGACATCTAGGGAGAGGAACACACCTTGCACAGACACTGATATCAGCATTGAGACTGACCTGCAGTGTGTATAAACCAGGCTCTGGGTATGACAAATTCGGTGTAAATCTGCAGTGAGTGTTAAAGTAATTCTGGACGTACATGGCTGCAATGAAATTGGAATCCTGCCCTTCCCCAGAGCAGTTACAACCCTCTCAAATTTTACTCAGTTTCTTTGGAGTGAGAGGACAGTTAGGGGCAGCACCTGCTTACAGCTGCAGGACGTCATCCAAACCTAAGAGATGTCAACAGAAGAGGAAGGAGACCTGCTGAAAGTGATTCCACTGAAAGCTGGACTGAGTAAACACAGAATAAGAAGCACTGAAAGTGGTGCTTACGGAGGCACTTCAGGAATAAAAATGTTCAGACAGCTACACAGCAACAAGTAGATTCAAAAAATTTAAAATTAAAATATTGAAACGTTTACCTAATATTTAAAAAGTAAGTAGGTTTTATATATATATATATGTTATAAGAATTAAAAAACTCAATATGACTTGTTTTATGCAAGCTACTGATAGCAACACATCTATAGCAACAGAGTATATCTGCTTCCCAAGAAAACACTTTCCTTAAGGGCCTGTTTAGTACAACTAATGATTGTACTACAAATATGGACACCTTTGCTTTTTCATCTGAAAATGGGCTGTGCTATTGCAAGAAAACAAATGTAATTGAGCATTCCCTTCCAAGCTATTCAATCTAAAATTATTATTATTATTAACTACAACCCACTCCATCCTTTAATGGAAATGTCAGGGCCATATTTGCAAAGTTTACAAGATCTGCTACATAATCCCTGAAAGCAAATTAATAGTCATATGAATGAAAATGCAAGCAAAGGGGGATGAAACCCCCTAAAAAAAGCTTTTCCCCCCCCCCGTGACAGGGTAGCAATCAATGACCTTGCACCTGTGTGTCAATCACTTCAAACACCCGTTTCACCACATCATCCAGGGAAGAAGAGACCTCAGCCAGCAGGGCTGGCTGGTGCAGCCCAAGGAGGAGCTGGGAGGCCACTGTCCCTGCATATACCCCTGCAGGATTGTTCTGGATGAGGTGCACAGAGGCATTCAAGGGCTGCAACGCACCAGTCATCTGGAAAACAGGGGAACAAACACCTGAGTACCTCCTCCTGGGCGTAAATTATGCAACAATTGTTATCATAATCTGAGTGCAGAAAGCACCAAATCAGAAAACATGGCATAGTGGTAACATTTAGGCCTGTGTTTATGCACTTTTATTATCACATTTCACAACTAATTTGTATCATAGCAATGCCAAGCTAAGGGAGGTGTGGATGGAGTTGATCTCGAAACGCTTAGGCAGAAGGATGTAATCCAGGAATATGTGGGAAAAGTCCTGCTTTGCAAAGTCTCAACAGGCATACATTACACATGCTATTACAATTCATCTGTAAAAGAGCTGTCCAATGCTTCTTACCTTCAACAGCTGAATGGACTGCTGGCAAAGGGAACAGAAAGAAAAAGAAGGAAAGCAATAGACTGAGAGGTGGGATTAAGAGCCATAGAGAGATCAAGTCACCCCAACTGAGTGTCAGGAATGAGAGAAGGGACATGGTGGTGGGCCTGGAAGAAATTCCTCTGAACAGCAGCTTGTTTATAGTCCCTATTTCTCGAGTGTTTGACTTTGACATAGCTTGTTTTAGACCAAGATATAAAAGTCTTTTTAGATCCTTGCTCTCTGTTCCTTACTGCACAGTGACAGGACCAAGATTTCCTGCTTTTTCAGGGTATGAGAAGGGGTAATTCAGGTGGAGGAAGAGCTGCACCCATGCTGCTGCCATCATTTCCATTCTCCTGCCCATCAGCACTGGCAGATTACGGCAGATGGGTTTCCTTTGTTACTTGCCCACTCCCAGCTGGAAACTGGGGAAGAGTAGAAATAGAAATGTAGAGAATTAGGGACGTGCCCCCTTGGGTGCCTTTCAAAGGCCATATCCAAGCCTGCTTTTCTCCATGGCGTGGTGATATGTACTAAGGAAATGCTTGGGTTTGTGGTCCAAGTTCATCAATCCATTTCCTAAGTACCACTGAGAGGACAGAAAGAGCCTCCCTGTCTGAGCAAGGCTTTAGTTCATGGCCTGGTCCCTTCTGCAGACCCTCCTTTTGGGAAGTGTGCCTCACATCTCCTCCAGGGCTGTGTTTTCCTTCGTTGCCTGGGACTCTTCCTACCTCATGTGTTGGGGACAGAGACAGAGGTACTGCAGCTGATCCACGCCAAGGTAGAGCCTTGGTCCTACAGCAAAGATAATGTCCTGCTGTCTGACCCAGCCCTGATTCTGGTGGCAAGACTGACAAGGAAACACACTTGTCCCAACACAGTTCCCTCCCCTAATCCTGTTTTTTCGCAGTAAAACTTCTGGCACTGCCAAGTCCACCTGCCTTGTGGGTCCCAGTGCCAGAGATCAGGTTTAACTTTGAGAGGTTTAACTCAAAACTTCTTATCACACTTGGAAGGTCTTGTAATCTGGCCCAAAACTGAACTCAGACAGTGCTAGAGCAATCACCATTTCAGCAGGAAACCCCCTATAATTCAGAATGTCTTTAAATTGCCCTTGGAAGAGACCTGAAAAATTTTCTAAAGGAGTTGATGAATCAACATTACTTGAACTGCTTAAGGATGCAGCTGACATTCAGTAATCAGAGATACACCAGGGCCAAAAAAAAATCAATCTGGCACAAAAGAGGGGGAGCAAGGGGTGGCCCCTGAGTAATAGAAATGAGGACACAACGAGCAGCACACAGGATCTGTTCGTGTTTGTACATACCACGGAGTGCAAAAGGCGGGAATGATTCAGAAGGTGGGAATCCACTCTGATTAGCTCATCGAAATCCATCTTCACAAGCACTGTCACGTTGTACCAGAATGTTCTTCCTGAAGTGCACGAAACAAAACAGCCAAGTCATCTGAGGTCTGATGCTATAGAAAGCAACTGAGCTACGGGAGAGCTCCGAGGGAACAAAGCAGGATTTAACTTGGCAAATACAAAGGGCCCAGGTACAGCCCATCACTTGCTGCCTCCTTTGCCATATGCCACCTCCTTTGCAGGTGCCAGCAAAGGAGAAGAAGCCAAGGAAGGTCCACTGGACCCGCAGCACCCACACACTGCTCAGTGCTCAGGGGTGCAAGCATTGAAGCTGAATATCCTGGAACTGATCCAGGGCAGATTCCTGTATTTGTTTTACGAAGAGCTATGGTAACAGTTTTCCTGCCCACTCCCACCCTCAGAAGGAAAAATTAAGCATATTTCTATTAGAAGCAGTCCTGAATTTATCAGGAACATACCCTCTGGCACCGGGTCCACACAGCCTGCGCCTTTGGAGGAGTTGCAGCATTTTTTGAGCCCTGGACACTCAGCGTCGAACGTGCAAGGGTAATCAGGGGTTTCCGTATTCTCCATTGGACAAATACCAGGTCTTGAGGCAAATACACTGGATCTGTTGAGTGCTAAGTAACAAAAACATTTCGGAGAACAAAAACACCGAAAATTGTTTCCACAAAATTGTGCTGTTTGCTTTATAGCAAACACCTCCTCCTCACTTTAGGAGCGCGTCTGTTCTGAGTTTTTCACTGGGAGAGAACAACAGCCTAAAATGCAATTATTTAACTCCAAGGGTGCAGACGCTCTCAGGTTCTTCTCCTGTTCGTGACATTTCTGCTGCAGAAATTTTGAATTTGTTACTTTCCGTTAATAATTACTCTGACTTTGGTGGCATGAGGCTGACCCTCTGTTACGGTAACTTGCAGGTGCTCCACGGGAGCGGAGACAGGACGTGGTTCTCAGGTGTAGGTGAGAGGGTTACTCAGAAGGACAGGAGAGCAGAGCCAAACCCGTGGCTGCAGCCTGGCAGCACCTACTCTGTGCCAGCTGGCCACTCCAGGAGGTTGGTAGCCCGTGCCAGAGAGCCCTGCAGAGAGGGCAGGGAAGGCAGAAGGTTGCTGCCTCCAAGCCAAGGGCAGACAGTGGTCCTGGGTCAATTCCAGGATATGTTTCTCTCCAAAGAGAAAACATTCCTAAGCCTTACAAAACACAGCTCCAAGTGATGCCCAGCTCTGGTCTTTCTAACCCACCTGAAAGATTTCTCTTTTCCATTCATCCTGCACCTACAGATTTTTGATCAATTACTGGGCGATTAAAGCCAGCCACGAGGAAAATTAACCTGATTCTTGCAATGGAAATAGCTGTGGTGCAGAAAAACCACACTGGACATAATAAAGCCCATAGAAAGTGAAAAGCCCACAACAAACTATAAATCTATCGTGAATCGTCAGTTCTGTGGGTTTACAGTTTCTGTTCTCCCAAGACTCTGGGTGTGAGGTTTCTGAGAAGCAGAAGGGGATACTGAATCTAGGACTTTTGGCCTCACTGAATTAACCTTCCTAAACAGGGGAATTATCTCAATTAATCAAGATTTAAACTAAATCTATATAACTTGCTACCACATGCACATTCCAGGTTCCCCCCACCCCTCCTACCAGTCTATGGGAGACTGGAGGCTACTGCAAGCAGAGAGCCTCAGCTTTTTAGCACATTCCCTAACAGATTTCATTTTTAGTACTCCAGATCCCCAGCTCAATCTGCAATTGAGGGACTGAGCTCAAACTACGGCCTGCAAAACTCAGGATTTTCAATTTTCAGCCATTTACACAACAGGACATACAGAGATATTTGCACAAAGAATCAGACTTTTAAGAGCAGTGATCTGTGTATTTCTGAGGGCCCACACTATCCTTGTCAAGGGTCTCTGAAAGCTAACTAAGAAAAGTAAGCATAATTTAATGATGGGAGTCACCTCCACTGAAAAACCTTCCAAAATCCAAACGCTGGGGAACGGGGAAGACACTGAGCTGAGACGTCTCAGCAGGATGCAGGTTATTTTGCACATATATTTTTAAAGACCTGCATGCAGAGCACATGGGATGGCACTTCCCACTCTGTTTTGTATTGTACTTCATCCACTGTGTGGGTGTCTTTTGTGTGCACGCAGCCAACGAGCACAAGCTTTAGCAAGGCTTTGAGCATCTTTCACAGAGAGTTGGTGTGAGACCCACAGGAGCTCTGGGCAGCAAATTAGGAAACTCTGTCCCTATTCCCAACCCCAGTGAATGTCTGGCTGCCCTACAGGGAGCAGGATTTATCCTCCTACCTAATACATCCTGTTATGGGCCTCTTCATGCCTGTAAACCAAGAGCACTCACTCCTTTTAGTCTCTCACAGGACCAACTCTGCCCCCAAAGTTCACTCTGAGTCATAGGTCTCATAGAATGAGGGGAAAAAAAAAAAACCCCAACCCTGTGCAATCTCACTCAAGCTACTTCTGGGTCCAGCAAGCCCCAGGAATCCTGTTCTGCTTCCCAGTATAGACCAGGAACCTCTGCTTCTGGCTCTGGGGTTGGCACTATGGGTTGTTCCCCCAGACAGGTCTTAGTCCTAGAAATATTCTTCCTGATTTCCAGTCTAAAAGCACAATAAGGTGTGATATGGCCTTTGACGCCCTTAGATGAGTCTCCCAGATATTTCCAGTCTCATGTGGTTGCTCCAGCCCAGCCTCCTGTGCAGGGAACCTCTCACACCAGAGCACCAAGGGATTTCCCTGTTCACCAGTGCTCCTTTCTATTCCAAACCAGGTGGATCTTGGTAAACTGGGCCCAAGCATGTAAATTCCTTCAGCTCTGAGATTCAGGTGCAGTTCAAGCAAGTTTGAGGTTCAAAGCAGCATTTTTTTCTACCTGGGTCTTTCTTTTTTTTTTTTTTCTTTTTTTTCCTTTTTTTTTTTTTTTTTTGGCTTGTTTAACTGCAGTGTAAATGGCTTAATGAGTCACATGCCATCTCAGAAAACACTATTGAATCCTGGCCCAGTGCCTCCCTGGCCATTTATCTGAAATCAAAAGGTCATCGTTTTCGGATCAGCGGAAACAGGGATGGATTCACTTCACATTTCTGCCTAATTGTACCAGAAGCGCTTTGAAAATTCAATTTATGCTCTCCACTTCAATAACGCTGGGGACAGTCACCTACCAAGCGGCACTGCCAGCACTGGGGAGCAAGCCAGCCAGCTCCTCTGTCATTTGGATGAAGCACAGGCTTTGCTCCTCTGCCATTTACATAAATGTATGGAAACAGAGCTGCAGCACCCAGTGCTTAGCAACCAAAGGTCAGTCACCAGCCTGCCCACTGGAGAGCCACTGGATCTGCAGGAGGGAGGGATGTCCCTGGAGATCGATGCTGATTATCTCAGCCATGATACCCTCCCTCTCCCTCCTTCCACCTTCAGGGGACAGGGTTCATCCAGAGGGGACCAGCACCCTTCATTCGTCTCAGGTATCAGAAGGTGGAGACAAATCCATGAGATTATAGAAGGAGCTCCTGGCAAAGCCTGCTCCGAAGGCAGGCTGGCAGTTTTCATCATATGACCCTGTTTTGTGGGACTTTGAGCATTGGTAGGCTTTACCTGCTCGTGTGGGTGTTTTCCATCCTGGTTCCTTCTCCAAGGGTTAATTGGGTTGTGTGCTGGTCCAGCATCTGACAAATATTTAACACCCTTCCCTATGGAAAGCTCCAACATTCTACCATATTCAGAAGCCATGGGCTGAAATTTGGCAATGATGCAGCTGTTGGACAATGAGGAGACCATGGCCTTCGAAGAAAGACTTGTAAGAAAAGACTGCTAAAAAGACAAGGACTTTTGTCTTGGAGAAGGGAGGGCTGAGGGGGATGTGACCCAGGTTTACAAAATCCCAAAGGCAGGGGGCAAGGTGAAAGCGGAGCTGGTCTTCACCAAAGTCCACAGTAACAAAATGGGTAAAAGCACACATTTCTTTACCCAAATGGATTGTGGAGGCAGACAGTGGGCTCAAAAAGGGATGAGGCAATTCCCAGACAGGATTCCCATAAGCAGACACCGCAGGGAACAGGCAGGGACAGACCCTCTGATGCCCATAATCCCATTTCTGCAGCTGCTGAGGGCACACAAGGGACCCAAAACGCAGTGCAGGAAGAAGACACCTGCTCCTGGGTGAAGTTTCATGGGGCATTGTGGCCCCTTCCCACCCCAGGCTAACGCTGTGACACTGCCCAGATGTGACACCACCATCCCATGGCTCCCTGGCCAAGCACAGGGGATAGCTGTGCCACAGCTCCTCACTGCTCCAGTTGGAGCCACCATGGGAATGTCTGCACACTGGCCCTGAAATGTCCTCGCCCTGCTGAGGAGCTACCTGGGCACCAAAAATGAGCATTTTTTACTTGACAGTGTTTTTTTTCTGAAAACCTTAGGAAGTTATGCACACAAAGCACACTTTAATCAAAGTGTGACCTTAAACATTGCAAATCAAGCACTCTCACGCAACTTCAGGATTAAAGGTGTCTGGGCCTTCTTATTTCAGGGTGTTTTTCGTGGAGGTAACGGATCAACAGTGTGCTTAGGGAACTTGAACTTAAACAGTGTTTTATAGAGCATGTGTGCTTAAAAACCAGGGTTCATTGCATGCTGATGCACTCTTTCCCTCCCTAGCTGGGGATCAAGTTGGGTTAGGTGGCAGATAAGGAGCTCTCTGGTTTCAACTTATGCTGGAAAGTGGGCAGGGAGCCAGGCATCAGGAGAAGTAACTATACCATCCATTCAAGCAGCTGGAAATTAGCCTGGAGGATTGGACCCTGTCTGCACCTAAAAAACAATCCTGCAAGATTCTGGGAAAGCTTTGTAAGGTGAAACAGCCTTTCAGAGCAGTGGGTTTTGCAGGTCCGTGAGCCTGACCTGCAGCCCTGGACCCGCCAAGCAGTTATGGGACTGCTCAAAGTCACCACTGAGGATGTGAATCTGTGTGCCCCAACCACACAAGTTGTTAAAGGCAGCTCTAAGCACTCTGAAAAGCAAAGCACATTTAGAAAAAAAAAAATTAAAACAGCTCCTAAGGTGTCTGAGAGTGGGCACACAATGGATTGATCTCAGTATCTCTGCAGCTCGGTTGCCAGTCTGTGTAAAGACAGAGAACCTTCCTCGCTTCCCGCAGTCTTGGTGAAGAAAAATTGCTGCCTGTGAATCCCCCAGGATTCACCTTAAGAGGTGATAAATAATTCTCTATTCAGTGAGAGGCTCAGCAGAGCACTGCACCATGCACTGAATGTGGAGGTCGAGATGGAATGTTGCTGGGGAGCTCCTTAAAGGGGCTCCATCATCCCTGGGCACCACATGGAAATGTGACCCTTGGGGCACGGCAGAGCTGGATTAGGTAACTAAAAGACTTTATTAATCTTCATGGGCACAAAGAGAAAAAACAAAGGTTGTTTTATTTAATCTCACCTTTGGAATTAATTCTAGCACTTCCTAACTTTGAGATAATTCACTTTTCAGTTGTTATTTAAAAATGTTGAAGTCATTTTCGTGTGCATCTCTAATGCCATCCCAAAGGACAGAAAGGCAATCAGGGAGAACTCCAAAGTCACGTGACTAACAATGTAGGCATATTTCCCCAACATTAAAGAAATAAGACAAGCAGGGCCTGCCATATCCCAGGCTGGGGTAAATGTTTCCCTTTAAGAAGAAAAGGTGAGGAGTGGCCAGGAGCAGGTCGCTGGGAAAGGTCATGGAGACCTTTCCACTCCTAGCAAGATGAAGAGCGTGACAGCATGGATAACGTCAAGAAAAAAATAACAGCAGTTCAACAGCGTGCTGTGCAGTAATTTCAGCAGTTCCAGTTTCTCTTCTCATCATTTATTTAAGACTGTGTCTAGACAGCGCATTACCATTCACAGAATTTATGACTAATGCCCTGAAAAGCAAAGATACCGGAATAATGTAAACACGGGAATCACCTAGAAGCCATTCAAATCCTTCTATGGTTTAAAATGTTCCCAGATTAACTTTGACAGGAAAAAGAGTCATGGTGACCACAGTATTTCATGGACAAACCTGCCCTGTGTGCCCAACAACAGCGTGGTAAGGGTGGAGTGGAAATCCTGCAAGGTTTACAGGAGATGTACAGATTTGTTCCCGTTAGATGAAACGAGCCCATCAACAGCTCCCAAGTCTAAAATATCCCTAGGGATGCCTTTAAAAGATATAGAATTATGCTAGGAAAAAAAAAATATTTAAAGTGTTTCCAGGATGCTTTTTTTTTTTATTTTTATCCCCAGAAAAGAAGATGGTCTTGATTTTCAGAGTTCCAAAACACCTGGGTTTCTCGTGCAAACTGTGATATCCACAGCTAGCAAGTAAGTCTTCCTCATTTAGCTGGCACAGCTCTTTCCTTGCACTACAGAATTAAGAGGTCATTTTCTCTGATTGCCTCTCAGTCTTGTCCTTTGACTCGTACATGCACACATGAATGCACGTGTGTGTATATAACAAAAAGGCCTTACTGAAGTAATTTGTCAACCATAATTAGTGGAGATTTTCTCCAGTGTGGAACTGATGTTTGGAAAATGCAGATGATCAACAGTGGGTCCTTTGCCAGTCTGACAAGACTGCCTGGACACACAGTAACCTGCAGGCCAAATTTTGCCCCAGCTGGCACTCCACAACAGCCACAGAGACAAACAATGGGAGGATATAGTAAGTTAAGAATCATATCTCTCTAACCATGTTTTAATTTCTCTAGCAAACAATTTTAGGAAAGAGTAAAACACAACAACTGTGCTCCCAACTTTCTTTCAAAAGCACTTTCCTGCTAGACATGATATTCTGCTACTGTTGAGAAAACACCTGGAAAAAAAATTGTTGGGAGGTTCTTTTCCCAGTGCTCTGAAGCAGCTTAAAAGTAGGATGAACACACTGTTCTTGACAGATCCCATGACAGGACATGTGGCTCATACCCTCTCATGCCACGCTATAGGATGTGGTGCAGGAGCAGGTTTGGGGACATTCCCACAGATCTGAGTCACCCAAGTCTCATGACCCAAAACAAGGGCCAGGGCTGCAATAAGACCTTTCCTTTGCAATCTGCTGTTGCAGTGTGTGACTGTGTAAATGCCCAGGTCCATACTGAAAAGGGAACATGGAGAAAATGCGATGCCATGCTGAAAATAGGAGACAAAATTATGTCCTACAGAACTTTTTTCGCATGGCAGAACAGTTCAGTGCTGGCCTAGCTAATCCAAGATGCCCATTCAGCCCAGAAGCATGTAACTTTATCCATTACCAAACAAAAAGTTCCTGTTCTCCAAGGGATCTCTTTCATCTAAGGTCTCAAGTTCTAATAAAACTGGGAATTTCTTGTTGACAGCTGGTAGCCCTGATGTGAGAAGGGGAAAAAAGCTTCCATCTTGAGATCAGGATGGTTAAGTCTTTCTGAGTAGAGCCTTGTTAACTCTCAGAAGTTAGATCAGATCCACCAAAAGGTTCACCAGTTTTCAGACCTCCCCGATGAGTTGTAGGCAAATCAGGAGAAAAGGGGCCCTGATGTAGTTTTGATTGGAAAGCAGTTGGTACTGACTTGCCCTGAGGTTGTTTTAAATTTAAACCAAAATTGGGTTTGCATTCTGGGAACAGAGCCTGCCTCAAATCAGAGGAGATGTTATCCTAAGTGCATCCTGAGTGACTTCTGAGAAGAAAGCTCCCAGTGTGAATGGAAACAGACACTGCACCAGGCACAGGGGAGTTGTTGCACTTGGCCAGGTATATTGGCCTGAACCAGGACAGGCAATGAGCCCTTGAGGGGTTAGCAAGGGGGTCCATTCTTCAGGATCCCCTGGAACTTTAGTGAATTTGTGTCAAAGAGCAAGAATCAGGAGCTTCAGTCTTTCATGTCTACTCCTTACCTTGTTGGACAAAGTTAACTCTACTTTTTTGCAGACTCACTGGTTCCAGTGAACAGGAACCTACGGCCCAGAACTGGGTGAACACTCCTCCACAAGAAGCATTGATTTCAACTCCTAATCTGACCAAAACTTACCTAGGGAGCAGTAGAGCCCAACCTGTTCGTATCCCTCGCAGCAATCTGTGAGAGTGATGGTTTCAGGGACTTCAGTGCCACGATACTGTGTTTTATAGTACGTTCGGGGACACACCATCCACGGTATCCATCCTCCACAGGACGTGTTTCTCTGGTAGGACTTTTGGTAGGCAACCATTTTAAACACGTTTTTGGTCAGGGTGTAGTTGCACAGATGGTACCCTAGCAAAGACAGGCCTTTTTCTGGGGAAGGAAAATAAAAAACTGGAAAGAAAGGGATCAGCATTAACTTGTCACCCCGGAGCATCAGTTCCCTGTGAGTATCTAGTTGACAATAGTGTCATGAGAAAGCAGTGACAGAACCAATACAGATGAATGATTTCCAGGAAAGCTGATGTTAAGAAGAACATCACTTCAAAAAAACAGACAGAAGAAAGAATTAGTAGTGACTGCTTGTCATAGGCATCACTTTGGTCATCAAAGGATGCAGATTGCCAGAGAAGTCAAAGAGTTCCTGGTGCCTTCAGGAACAAAGCAGAAAAAAGGGCAATTTAACTCAAGAAAGTAGAAAGGAAATTAGTATATGTTAATGGAAAATAGTAGAACAAAATAGGCACTTCCAGGGCAGAGTCATCCAAGTACTTCACACGTCCACTCCAGCCTCATGATGCCAAAGTGTTCACTGCTGTCTTCTGACTATAATGGGAACGAGGGGAACTCATGGGCTGATGAGTCACAGTAGATGTCTGGAATAAGACATCCTTCAGACATCACTCCAGGCTAAAACTGGGTACTCATACATCACTGGGAAGGACTTTCAGGTATCTGACACAAAAGGTATTCCTGGAGCTCCTGTTCTGCCTCTCTGCATTTGTTGCAGACCTTGTTAGATCAGGCCTTGAGACCTGCAGTGGTTCATGGACTTCAGGATAAACAAAGCCAGTGATAAGGTCATTAACTACATCATTTCACACAGGTCTGGGAATGGGACTCATTTTGCAGAGTTCTGAAACCATTCGTGACGAGGAGTGAACTCGTTACATGTTTTACTTAAAACTGAAATACTTGCACAGGAAGAGAGATTTAAAAAAAACCCAACACCAAACAACACAGAGAAACATCAACAACAGCAACAAAGCCAGATGGAGTTTAAGAATTAGCAGTAAGCAACCTACAGTCATGTCACAGACATCAGGCTGGCTCCTAATGAGATGTTATGGGAGCCAGAGGGGCTGAGTCACCCTGTGTCCCATTTGGGAAACCGATCGGATAGAATTGAAATGCCTGCATCATCCTTCAGACAAAGCAAAGGAAATTTTAATAAGGATAAACATGAATTAGCTCCAGAGAATCAAATATAGCAGAGTTATTTTTTTCAGAGAGCTCTGAGGGCACCGGGGTCAGCCAACAGACAGACTGAAGCTAACACAGTATACACAAAAGACACACAATTAAAATATTTACAGCTTCTCTTATTTGTACACTGCTGCCTGAAAAGATGGAACATGTAAAAACATTTCAGGAATTGTCAGGTTCTTATTAATCTGTGCTTATATCACGTTTAGCTTTCCAGCTAAACAAAAGACATATGCACAATTTGAGCAGCAGTGGTAGAAAAGCTTTGGACGGGATGACCCATTTGTAGCACAGGGACAGTCCAGAAGAAAACATGGAACACATATGGTACCTAGATATGGCCCCTGGGAGTCCAGCTCTGCTCTGCCCAACCCCTCTGTGCTTTTTTTTTCTGCAGCAAAAGGCAGAGTTTGAGGCCAGGTTGTGCTACAAGGGAGCACGTGTGGGAGCAAGAGATCTCCCGTCAGGCTCCAGGGAATCTGTGCTGCTGCTTAGAGCAGGTCAGCAGGAAAACACTGACAGTAAGGACATAGCTGGAAATTCCACTCCCTGCTTCTTCCTCCTCCCCAGCCTCAAGCAGGGCACCTCTGGGTCCAGTCCCTGAAGCAAGATCCAGAGGCAGTGGCTGGAAGGTCTTCACATCCCTAAAAAGCACCAGGGCTTGTAAATAAGAAGAAAGTGAAAGGAAACAGTCTTGAGGGTCAGGAAGACACCCAGACTGTCCCCAGCTGTGAGGCTGAAACCCACACCCTGCCTGAGCCAGGAGAGCACCCCAGTGGCTGGGATGGAGGTCTGACCAGGACCGGGAAATCCCATTCCCAGCCATGGCTGTGCAGGAGGGAATGGAGGGTGAAGTGAGGCAGGGAAAGCAAGGTGGCCTCCCTCCCTGGATAACTTTAGGATGTCCACCTGGGAGAAAGGGGAAAAGAAAACAAACGTGGGGTCTGGGGCAGAAATCAGAGGTCTGATTTTTATGCCGCTTTTCATCCAGTGCATTTGGTGGATTAACACTTCACATGAGGCACAGGTGCCTGATGAGAAACAGAGAGCTGTCACTGCATTTTAGAAAACATTCCCTTGCCATGTGTTAAGAGTGCTCCAAGAATACCTATCCCTGCAAGTACTTCTAGGTTTGTGGGTGAGGGAGGAAATTAATCTTGTTTCAGCTTTTTTGCCCTTTTTTTTTTTTTCTTCATTAGTTTGGGACATGAATGGCTAAATAACCAGAATAGAATGGAGAGAAGACCTAAATCATTTTTGTTTTAACATTTCTCTAGAAAAATGGCACGAGCATGTATTGGTAACCAGGGAAAGTGGAAGGAGCAAGACAAATGCTATTCTATGAAAAAGAGGAGAAAAACAAAACAAAACAAAACAACCACACTCATGTATTAGGGAACCAGACTATTATTATGTTATGTTAGAAGAGAGTAGGAAGAAGACTTCAGCCTTGTCCCTCATCCTTGTGATCCCTCCATTTCCACAGAGCATGGTTGGAGCAAAGCAGGGACTGGAAGAGAACAACTGAGGAAGGAGAGCACAGAGGATTCCTGCTGTCCATGCAGAGCTGAGGCTGCAGCAAGGACATAGCACTGGAAAGCTAAAAATTCCAGTGTCAGCTGAGCTGGCTTAGTCTCTACAGCAATGTGCAACATAAACACAGGTATGAAACTGAGAATAAAACGGTGTAGAATTAGACACAGTTTATAATTAGAAGCTACAGCTGTCAGAGCAGATATGAAATCATATTTCAGACTTAAACATTGATACTAAGTGTATATATATATAATGTGTGTGTGTGTGTATATATATACATATACACTAGATATAGAATGAGGCTGCCAAAGCCAAAAGAGAAAGTTTGAGATATCGCTCTGGTGGTACAAAAAGATGCTCTCTTTGGAAGAGGCTGGACTGAAGGTGGCAGGGAAAGTTGCAGCACAACCAACTTTGGCATCATCCATCACTTCCATACAGTTTAAAACAAGCTTTGACACTCAGAGAGTTCAATGATTTGCTGACAGCAGTTTGCTGCTGAGCAATGTGGTTTGGATCAATTTGGGCTCTTTAGCAAATTGGCTTTCTGGTCTCATTACTCCCATCTATGGGATTATGGCACAATCAAATGGAATTAAAATGCACTGGCTGCTGTTTCCAGAGACTCAGAGCTGAAGTCAATCCCAAAGCAGGAGAAGGCAGAAACCTGATGTCAGTAGGGCTATGTTACACTTACCATCTCTGGCCTTCAGTTTTGTGTCTCAGAAACCACCAGCTTTCAGCACTGTCAGGATAAGCATTAATTTTTTTACTTTAAGCAAGAGCAGAAACAATTAAAGCAAATATTTTACTATTAGAAGCAAATAAAGCCTTGGAAGGAAAGGCTGTGTAGGAGCAGGCTGCTTATAACTCAAGGTCTAACCCAGATCAGAACTGAAACCAGGGTCAAAAAACAGCAATAAAGAATGCTTGATAGCATTTATGCCACAGATACAGCTGCAGTTCTGGAAACTTCAGTGCTCAAGTGCCAGAAAAGCCACTGTGAGCTGGGAGCTGCAAAATCTTTTCTTGCTGGAGAACAGCAAGAGCCAAAGACAAGCCCTTTTCTTGTCTTGATGTAACCTCAAAAGTCATCTGTTGGAAAAGGTTCCCAGAGGGCAGATTCAAGCTCAGCTTTAAAAGGCAAAGGCTCCAAAACATGAAGAAAAATGGATCAAGAGCCTGATTTTTCTGCGTATTCCAAATTCTTTTTAAAGTCAACACAATTTACTTTAAATTGTATTAGAATGGGGGTTCTGCTGGCCCCTAATCTGTAAAAGCCTCTTTTCAGCTGTGACTTGGACAGAACAACAGAGAAGTCTGCAGGGTTCTAAGAAATATGGTTTATATTTAACCGAGACTCACTAAACCACTTAAGCAAAAATATGCAACACAGAGCAGCCAAAAATCACGATCTTTTCTCATCTAAATAAATCAAACCAGAAATGAAGAGCAAATTAGGAGTTCATTTAGCAGTTACAACCTAACAATTGGGTTAGGTTTTTCCAGACTACAGCCTGTACCACGGACGAAAGTTAAGCATGTCTTCTAATTAATTTTATAATTTGCTTCATTTTATGAGCCTCTAGGAATTTGCCAGGTACATTACTACCTCATTTCAACTGAAAGTTTATTTTAAAGACAATTTTCATAAAATTTTGCACATTATTGAAGACAAAGCAGAAATTCTACTCCTTGGTTTCTGGCACAAAGGGAAGGATTTTGCCTGGGGACAAAGGTTGTATTTTCCTCTGGGTTAGATTTTCTTTGTTTAATTATCAATCGGGGACACTTAAATGGTCGCTGAGATATTGCCAGCTCTCCAGAGAGTGACCTTGACCAGTTTATTTCAAGTAAAGAGCGATCCCACATCCAGACTAAGTTGTCTACACAACAGCCGTGGTCCTCTGACCAGGTTTTGCATCACTCACCTGTAATCTCATCCCCCCTTCCCTGCTGTGTGGCTGCCCAGAGGATGAGAACAGAAACAAGGGTGATCCCAGCCACTGTAGTGCCCATCCTGGATAAATCCTTGTTATGGCTTTGTTTCCAAGGTGGTAGAGCCTGACTGTCCTTACATGTAAGGCTTTTGGATTAGGGAAAAAGGGGCTCTGTTCCCTTCCCCTTTGCGGGCGGGTGATAACTCCTGGCAACAGAAACAAAAAGGATCCCGTGGGAATTTTGCCGGTTCTCTCTCCTTCACGCTCTCCCCAGGGAACCTGCCTC